CACCTCAATCCCAATCCCCACCCCAACCCCAGTCCCACCCCCCCGACCCCCCACCTTCCCCACGAGCTGCACGATCTCAGCCAGATCCTCCTCCTCCTGCAGGATCTCCCTGGCGCGGGTGCGCAGCGCGGGGAAGTCAGGGTGCAGCCGCTCGTAGTGGGGCTCCAGCGCCCGCAAATATTTGCTGTAACTGATCAGCCAGTTCACTGATGGGAAGTGCTTGCGCTGCGCCAGCTTCTTGTCCAGACCCCAAAACACCTGTGGGATCGGGGCAGGAGGATGTTGGCATGGGGGTCCATAGGGGATCCGTGGGAACCCAAATATGAGACTTATGAGAAACCCTAAATACGGGATTTGTGGGAACCCCACGGGAGCCACGAGGAAAACCAAATACGGAATCCACAGGGAACCCCAGGTATGAGAAACATGGGAACCCTAAATATGGGATCCACAGGGACTCCAAATACGGGATCCATGAGGAATCCCAAACACGGGACCCGCGAGGAAAACAAAACAGGACATCCATGGGGATCCCCAAATACACGATCCGTGGGGAACCCAAATACGGGATCCTGGGAGCACACCAAATACAGGATCCGCAGGCACCTCAAAGCTCACCTGCACGATGCCCAGCGTGGCTGAGGTGACAGGGTCCGAGAAATCCCCTCCGGGCGGTGACACCCTGTGGGGCGCAGCACACTCAGTGGGGTGGGCCGGTCCCACGCTGTCCCCTCCCGGTGACACTCACGCTCCAACGATGCTGACGCTGCCCTCTCGGAGTGGGGACCCCAGGCAGCGCGCCCGCCCCGCACGCTCGTAGAAGGACGCCAGGCGAGCGCCCAGGTACGCGGGGTACCCGCTGTCTGTAGGGCACGGGGAGGCACGGTGATGCCGGTGCCCGCTGCCAACGGGATGATGCTGGGGATGCTGAGTTCCTCACCCGCCGGCATCTCAGCCAAACGCCCCGAAATCTCTCGCAGCGCCTCGGCCCAGCGGGAGGTGGAGTCGGCCATCATGCTGACGTGGAGCCCCATGTCGCGGAAATACTCAGACAGCGTGATGCCTGCGGGGCACGGGGTGGCACCATTGGCAGAGCCCTGCCGTCACCATCACCGTCACCATCACCGTCCCCTGTCGCCTACCAGTGTAGATGGAGGCCTCGCGGGCGGCCACTGGCATGTTGGAGGTGTTGGCCACCAGCGTGGTGCGCTTCATGATGCTCTCCGTCCTCCCATCCACCTCCATGGTGAGCTGCGGGAGAAACCATCAGCACCGCCGCTCCCCTTGGCTTCATTGGCCCCGCTGGCCCCTTTGGTGGCACCGCTGTCCCCTCGTTGTCCCCCTGTGTTACTGGGCTGACCTCGGGGAAGTCCCGCAGCACCTCGGACATCTCGTTGCCGCGCTCCCCGCAGCCCACGTAGACGATGATGTCGCTGTTGGAGTACTTGGACAGGGACTGCGAGATGACGGTTTTGCCGCAGCCGAAAGCGCCGGGGATGGCCGTGGTGCCGCCCTGCACGCACCTGGGGACGGTCCCTCGCATGGCCGCTCCCTGCCCACGCTCGTTCCCATCCCCAACTCCACCCTGCCTCCCCACGCTGACCTCCATCCTCATTTCATCCCCTGTCCCTCATCTCTGTCCTCCTTGTCCCCTATCCCATACCCTATTCCCACGCCCATTGCTGTCCGCTACCCACCTCTCTTCCCAGCTCAACCCCATACTCCTGTTCCCTATTCTCACGTCCCCCATCCCATATCCCTCATCTCCATCCCTGTCCCATCACCGTCCTCTGGCCCCACTCCTCTCCCTCTCGCCGTTATCATCCCCACTCCCGTTCCTATTCTTTACCCCCATCCCCCGATCCCTACCCGCATCCCCTATTTCACATCCCCCGTTCCCACCCATGCAAGTCCGCCATCCTCATCCCCCAACCCCCCCAACCTACATCCCCACATTTATCCCCAATCCCATCCCAATCCACATCTCCCCATTCCCATCCGCATTTCATTTCATCCCCATCAAACTTCATTTCAATCTTGTCTTCATCCCCACCCCATTCCAATCCCATTCCCATCCCCACACCATTCCGTCCCCAACCCCATCCCGATCCCAATCCCATCCCAATCCCCCTCCCATCCCATTTCCATCCCCTCCCATCCCAATCCCTACGGGAAAAGCGCATCCAGCACACGCTGTCCCGTCAGCAGTGGGTGATTTGCTGTCAGCTTCTCCACCACGGGCCGGGTCTGCCGCACCGGCCACACCTGCATCATGGTCAGCTGCTCGCTCACACCCTCGAAGTCCAGCTCCAGCACCACATCCTTGGGGACGTTTGGGGACATGTAGGGACAGCAGTGCCTTGGGATGCCACCACCGAGTTGTTGGGGACATTTGGGGACAGCAGGATGCCACCACCACGTCCTCAGGGACGTTTGTGGACAGTGGTGCCATGGAATGAAACCAGCCCACCTCCGCTACTTCCTTGGGGACATTTGGGGACAGCGGGATGCCGTCACTCCAATACTGCATTGTTGGGGACATTTGGGGACAGTGGTGCCACCACCACATCAGCCACCCCTTACCGAGACGCTGTAGTGCCCTGGTGGTGCGATGTGGGTGACGGTGCCACGGCTGCGGGGTGGCACCATGATCTTGTGTTGGATGAGTGAGTTCTCTGTCACTGTCCCATAGATGTCCCCACCGGTGACGTGGCTGCCAACCTGGCACGGGGTGACCATGAGGGTAACCGGGTGGCAATGGGTTTGGGCAGACCCCAAAGTGGGAGCAGAAGGGTGTCCCCATGTCCCCACCTGGATGCTCTTGCTGGGGACAAAATCCCCATGTCCCACTGATGTCCCCATGTTCCCAGCAGAATGCTCCTACTGGAGATAGTGTCCCCACGTCCCTCTGTCCCCATATCCTCATGTCCTCACGTTCCCAGCAGAATGCTTTTACTGGAGGTGATGTCCCCACGTCCCTCTGTCCCCATATTCTCATGTCCCACTGATGTCCCCATGTTCCCAGCAGAATGCTCTTACTGGAGATAGTGTCCCCACGTCCCTCTGTCCCCATATCCTCATGTCCTCACGTTCCCAGCAGAATGCTCTTACTGGAGGTGACGTCCCCACGTCCCTCTGTCCCCATATCCTCATGTCCCTGTGTCCCCCCAATGTTCCCATGTCCTCACCTGGATGCTCTTGCTGGGGACAAAGTCCCAGGTGAGGTGCCGTGGCAGCGCGGGGACGTTGATACCCCGTGGGATGTAGATGCCACCCGTCAGCTGTGCGATGTCCCGCAGCGGGCGCTGGATGCCATCGAAGATGGAGCCCAGGATGCCAGGACCGAGCTCCACCGAGAGCGGCTGACCCGTGCGCAGCACCGGGTCCCCCACCCGCACCCCCGCTGTGTGCTGAGCTCAGGAGGGCACGCAGAGCAGGAGGGGGACATGAGATGGGGGATGCGGGGTAGAGGATAGGGATAGGGATGTGAGGTGGGGAACGCAGGGTGGGAACATGGGTGACGGGGATGGGATGTGGGGTGGGGGATGTGGGGATGGGGACAGGACAGGAATCACAGGACAGGAGATGAGGACAAGAAAACTAGAGGGGACAGGGACACTCAAGGAAGACAGAAGGGGACGGGACATGGGAACGGGAATGGGGAGAGTGGATGGGATTGGGACGGGTGGGGGACCGCAGTGACAAAAGATGGGGAGAGAAGAGGGGACGAGGAAACTGGAGGGGACAGAGCCAGACAGCAGACAGGACAGGGTGACAGGAGGGGATGGGAGGACAGAGAGGATGGGGAGACGGGAGGGGATGAGGTCACTGGAGGGATCAGGAGTGATGAGGAGACAGGAGAGGACAAGGTCACTCACAGAAGGTCACTGAAAAGGTCAGGGGGACAGGAGGAGTCAGGAGGGGACAAGGGGAGAACAGGCGAGGCCACAAGGATACAGGTCTCCTCGTACACCTGCAGCGTGGCCATGTCCCCCTCCAGGCGGATGATCTCCCCCACCAGCTCCGCGTGCCCCACACGCACCAGTTCATACATGGCTGCCCCAGCCATGCGTATGGCCGTCACCACTGCAGGGACATTGCGCCGTCACCCCCTCGTCTGCCCCCAAGAAGTGTCACCACTGTCCCCACCACGCAGCCATACCGGGCCCCGAGACGCCGTGCACGGCACCCAGCAGGCTCTCCTTCTCAACGTCGGCCACCCGTGTCCCCACGTCCCCCTCCATGGCGGTGGCACTGATGGCACAGCTGGTGGCACACACATTATATGGGGACAGTCACCGCAGGGGACTGGGGGGAACCGGCTGCACCCAGTGTCACTGTGGGTGTGGGCTGTGTACAGTCAACAGCACGTCCCCTCCTGTCCCCACCCCACACCGGCACGCACCAGCGCTCAGCCGGCTCATGGGGACAGGGGACAACCCTGAGCACCACCACTGCTACCCCCGTGTCCCCTCCTGCTGCTCACCCTGCAATCCCCCACATCCCCAGGGGGGCTGTGCAAGCCCCCTACCAGCTCCAGTCTTGGGACCACGCATCCCCCCACTGTAACATAAACATGCATCCCCACGTCCCCACGCCATTACCAGCATCCCCACACCCTCTGTTGTCCTCGTGTCCCCCAACATGCCTGTGTCCCCCATGCCACCCCCAGCATCTCCACGACCCCGTGTCCCCAAATCCCCCAGTGCCAGCTCATGTCTCTGCATCCCCACGCCACTGTGTGTGCCCACGTCCCACTGTGTCCCCATGTCTCCCAATGCCAGCCCCCACCCCCACTGAGCTCCCCACATCCCCTCTGCCAAAGGAACAGACTTTTGGGAGAGTAACAGCAAAAGAGGGTCACAGGAATCCGAGTGACATTGTGGGGACAAAGTCCGGGCAGCTTTTTGTCCACTGTACCCCCAGCAGAAGTGACACCTGTGTGTGCCCCTCCCCCACAGCCCAGGACACAGCAGGAACGTGGTGCAGGAAAGCGGCGGCCGACGGCAGTCACAGGTGAACGGGCAGCTCAAGGGCGTCCTCAAAGTGCCACTGCTGTCACCGCCCACAGTGCCACCTCCCAGGGCTTTTGCCACCTCCATTACTCCAGAACTAGAGAACGCTTGTGACCCAAAATCCCCAACATCTATTTAACAAAACCACTAAACGAGGGGAGGGAAGGCAGGTGACAGCAGGGGACAACAAGGCTAGGACACGAGGACGCCAGCGGCGCTGCCCTTGCCCCCCTCGGTGCCATCCTTGGGGGGCTGCCGGGGGTCGTCCTCGCCCACCAGGCGGATGTTGTGCTTCTCGCGGAACTCGTTCAGTTCGCGGCCCTTGCTCTGCAGCTGCTGGGTCAACGTCTCGATGATTTTGCTGATCTTGGAGGAGAAAAAGGGGGAGAGGGGTTATAGGGCGGTTGCGGGTGGAGGGAGGGCCTGGGGGTGAGGGGGAGAGGGGGGGGGGTCTGACCAGGAGTCACCTGCTCACGGTTGCCCTCCAGTGCGGGCAGCACCTCCTTGACAGTGCGCTCTACCAGGATGCCCCCCACCATGCGGTAACACTTCCGTGTGGGGTCCACCTCGCGCAGCGTCTCAATCACCAGGCTGTGGGGGGGACCCTGTCACCCCCGTGTCACCCTGCATCGCCACCGCTGACAACCCAGCATCCCTCGTTTTGCTGCTGTGTCGCTTTTGGTGTCACCCCCTTCCCCCCCCACTACCATTCTTCTATGTTTCTCCTCATCCCAGGCGTCCCCCCAAGCACCTTCACTGCCCCCCCGTGCCCTCCACGTCCCCGCTGTCATTCCTACACCCAACAATACGCCCTCCACAGCCCTCCAGCGTCACCTTCACACCCGATGCC